CACAAGCAAGAAGGTAAAACACGCAATCTGATATTACAAATATGAATGACACGAATATCAATAGAGGGTTCTAGAACTCGGTTCCAAAGGACTAATCGACACAGTGGAGGAGATCAAGAATGGGGGCCCTGGATCACTGTAAAAGGATTTGTCACCACAGTTACAATGAACGATTCAGTTTCTCGATGGAAAACTAAACTCTAAACAAAACTCAAATGTGTAGCAGCGGCGACGGCTGTGTTTATAGTCTAAGACTCGACCTAGGGTTGGGGACGGCCAGGGGTTGGGCGCCCACAACTTGGGCTTAAGGCCCGACACGATACATGGCCAAGTTGGCCCAAATAGGTGGCGCAGCACCTTGCCGTGGTCACACAGAATGATCCACGGACCTTCTGGAGCTGGAACCAGATCCAAAACGACGGCGTCGTCGTCCCCTTTCCAACGTATCCAAGAACGGCCCGTTTCGATGTCGTATGAGAAAGTTATGACCGAAACAGTGACGACGTGTCTGCTGAATCCGAGGGCAACGTGGCAGCTGAGTTGGGAACGAATTACAACTTGGGGAAGACCATGGCGTCGGTGTGTCCAGCATGGCGATGTCCTCATCACCAGAGGTCTTAGGATCGGCTAGAGACCCTCTCAAACATCCCCCTCACTCTAGAGATGGTAGGGTTCGGCTTTCACGGTTCCGGGCTAGAACCACCGACTGCGCCTGCCGCTTTGGTGGGCTACGCCGGGCTTTGGTGGGGTCCAAATGTTGGTTCACCCGGTTTCACCAACAATTTTGGACCACTCGGCGGTCGTTGTCGAGTCTACTTAATGACAAGCTAATAGGTAGCTCAGCTCTTAGGTATCGTAGACCCCTGTAATTTCGGGTACTGTGAGTACCAACGAGATCCTGTTGTGGTGGTAACACCACTTATTTAGGAACATGGCTCCCTAGGCGCTGGAAGCGCCTGGGTCGGGTGGTGACACCGTGTAACTGAAAGTGTAGCTTCCATGGCACTGTGAACGCCTTGTTTGGGTGGTAACACCACGTTGTCGAGAACTTGGTTCTCGATGTGTTTGGAAACATGAAAACAAGATTAGTGAGTATTTGTTGGGTAGTTGAATAAGATAAGCATGTAGTAATGCAATTGTTAATTTCCCTTTTTGAGCTATATTCATTGTGTTGTGCACTTTGCCGACAAGACCATAGCCCCTGTGCTAGTTGTCGAAGTGCAACACATGTAGCATTGGGTTTGCGGCGTAGGTCATCGCTGCCAACAAAGCACACTAGATAGAACATGTGTTATAAAAGTACTTAAAGCAGTTTTAAGGGTTGTTGTCTTTTCTCCTTGATGTTGTTTTCCCTTTATGATTTGCTCGGCGTGTTATGCACTTTGTTAACGAGACTGTAGCCCCGTGCGTAGGTTCCTAGACACGTCATGGGGCGTAAGTCATTGTCGTGACAAAGCTTTAGACATAGAACGTATCATGCGGGTACTTAAATCGCGGAGAAAAAAGCAAATATGCCCTAGAGTGTGATTATTATGTGTAATAGCCCCTGACTTTTTGCTAAGTTTGATATAACTTAGTAGAAAGTAAGAGCAAAAAATAACATAATAAAGACAATTATGAAAGTGACTTAGTTGAACCAATGGGATGTTGGAGCCATTATTGTCGATGTCGAGTGCTGCCGTGAGCTACGACGAGAGACGGCAAGAGGTTGGGAGCCATGATGAGAGGTCGAGCGTACTGACAACATGATCTAAGTAGTCGTTGCTGATGATGTTGTTGCCATTCGTGTTACCCGACGAGTTGACGTCGAGTTGTCGATGATGAATCATTGGCGAGGTCCGATGAGTCGACGACGCGAGCGGCAGGATGCTGACCATGGGTCGCTGTGTGGCACTCGAGGAGCGCAGTTTGATTCCTGCCCATTGTGGTCACGTAGACACAAAAGATATCCGAAGATATATATGCATATAATATTTCTTTAGAATATTTAATAAAAGACATGACTTAGCTTGCTCGGCAAGTGGACGGCATGTTCGAATAGCCACTGTTGGCGACGAGGCGCATCATTGACGAGTGTCGCGGCATGCTGACGACAAAGGTCATGTTCGCTGGAAGTAATTTGGAGGAATCTGGATGAATCTGAATGAATTTGTGAGAGTGTAAACAGTGTTTTTCATCCGCGCACAGTAAAATCCGGCTGGTTTTTCAACCAGCCAAACGAGCCCAAGTTGACGACGCGAGCCGCGGTGTGCTGACGTCACGTCAACGGCGTAGGACGACGACGACAAGAGTTGTAGTCGAATTCCTGCCAATAATAAATACGTGCAGACATCCAGAGATACACGTATTCCGTAGAATATTTAGTATTTATTATGTTTAATTGGGATAGGTAATTCAACTTAGCTTCTTTAATGTGCAGCTGGGCATGTTGATCTCGTATAGGACATGGGTCACGAACAGGCACCACCCAACTTGCATGTCTCTGTAGTTAGTACGTAGATGCATGTTGTCGCGGGGGTTGGACCTTTGACGCTGGCATCGTGGCCTAAGCACGACGTCGGAGGACGCAGAGCCTCGGGAAGATGCCTCGGGACGCCGACGACACGGGATGACGACGAGGACTGCCGCCGGGCGACGACGAGTCGATGTCGTGGTCGGCAATGAGGCCGCCGCTGCCATTATTGGTCACGAGGGCAGGTAGATATATTCGGAGATACATGAATATATAAAAAGTATTTAATCGAAATAAAAAGCAAGACTTAGCTGTTTAGTGCTTTTTGTGTAAGAATCCTGATGAATCGTCGACAGGGGTCGAGATCCGAGCCGTTGACGAAGTCCGTCGAGGTGCACGGCGAGGGCTGTCGTAGGCTGACGACGAGTCGGCGACATGATCCACGCTGTCGACGAGGGATGACGGGTTGTCGACGCGAGCCACGACGTGCTGGCGGCGTATCGACGATGCGGGACGGCGTCGACCAGAGATGCAACCGAATTCCTGCCAAGGGTAGTCATATAGACAAACAAATATCCGAGGATATGTATTCCATAAATTATTCGGTTGAAAAAAGAAATTGGTCTTAGTTTGTCCAGTGCCGGAGTGTCGTGTCGTCCTCGTGCTACCACGAACAAAACCTCCGATCATCATCAGAGCCTTGCTGCGAGATGCGGAGTCGTGGGAACGCTGGGATCGCCGCTCGTCTCCGTGCGTCGTGACGTGCTGCCGAGTTGCCTGGCACGCCGTCGAAGCACGCCGCCATGGGAGTCGAGATGCCACGATGTTGTTGACGAAGAAAATTCCCATCCGAAACATATTAGATCTATACGTAAAAGTCCTCTACCTGACGCGCCAACTGTCGGGTTGTTTAGCTCCGGCAATACCTAGTAACTAATCCGCGTAAGATAAATCAGATGGTATCATATGAGACACAGGGATTTATAATGATTCGGGACGCGGTGCGTGCTAAACTCTACTCTAATGGTGCTGCTGCTCTTGTATTTGTATGCTCAGTACAGGGGTTGTTGCTCCTAACTACGTAGTAGATGGGATGGAATGAGGTGGAATGAAATGATGCCGATCGAAAGGTCCTTGCCCCCCTTTATATAGACAGAGGGGGTAGGGTTACGATGAGGACGATTGGCCTAACAGATTGGTTTTCTAGTTTGTTACAAGGAGATCTACTAGATAGAATCGGCTTCTAGATATTTTTTTGCTACGTCTTGTCCTCCAAGCTGGTGGATTCGCCTAGCCTTCGTGGGCTTCAACCGTCGTGGTCTCTGGCCCAATAAGTAGACGTGGTCGAATATACGGACGGTGCAGGTACTCCTGGCCCATATATCCGGTACTTTGAAAATACGTTTTCAACTACCTATGAAACCGCATTTTATAGTAGCGAACAACAAGATCCTCTTGTATAGCTCTCAACAAAGAAAAAGGATGCGTGGCTTATGGCTACATGCAGGGACGGATCTAACACCAAGGCGGGCTAGGCTCGAGCCCCGCTACCGCTACTCGAAGCATAGAGCTCATTCTGCAAATTGGTATCCATGAAAGCTTGAAAGGAGTTTTGCCTAACTTATCTTTTTTAATCCTCCATTGGCTACATGCGCATACGCAGGCCAGTAATATGCATGTGCTTAAAAACACAGCACGTCTATATATTGGACAGGGCAACTACTTAGCCAAACAGAGTTATAGTCGAGTTGAGCTGCACTAAACCCCTCCAGAATTCGGATCCAACCTCTGTTACCTGCAGTGCCTTTGCACGGTACAGAAACTCATATTCGCTTTGCTCGTATACGATCGTGGATTATAAGCTGAAATAATATTTTTCTCTTACACCAAACCAGCCAGCAATAAATAATCCACGATCGTTTACGACGAAACGAATGTTTGTTTCTCACTTCTCAGCCGTACAGAAGCCGCCTTGTAGGGGTGGGACTAGGGGGCTTCCATTGGCTTACGACGGTCCTGAACATGTATTAGGGCCGCGACGAGCCGATCACCTTGGCCCGTTATTATATGGCAAAGCTTTTTTTGCGACAATTTTTTTTAGAAAAGGGAATTTTTATTCTGGTCTTTGCAAAAGTTTTACACACAACCAATTCTTATTACAAATCCAACCTCTTGCTGTTTTTTAAGCTCTCAAAAAGAAGTGCTTAGTAATATGACTGATGCGTGCAGCGTGGAGAGACGGACGAGATAGGATTCATAGGAATGTCAAATGTGCGCGCGCCTATATCTCTACCACTGCCACCCACATATATGCGCACATTTTTCGCCGTGGCATTCCGGCATTATTGTAGTCCAGCCGCGATAAACTCTGCTGCTACTAACTATTCTGCCACCACATGCAAAGTAGTACATCTGATAATATAATGGTAGTACTAGCAAAGCAAAACAGACCAGATCGAACGGTCGAGGAAGGCGTAACAACATGGAGACGACGTGTGCGCCTGTGCGGGTGGCCGCGGGCGCCGTGCCAATGTGCAGGACTCGTGGATCATTTCACCACTCCCAGAAGCAGCAGGATCTGGAGGAAGATGTAGGACGCTCCCCCGATGGTGGCGTACTGCAGCTTGCTCTCCCCCTCCACGTCTGCGAAGTCGCCGTCCGCGCACTTGCTGAACCCACCGGCGAGCCACGCCAGGTTCCTGTACCCGTCGTCGTGCAGCATCCTCACCGCGATCAACGACCTTGTGAATTGAAATTTGAACCACACGCAATGAGTAGGCTTAGCTTTGTTACACGTACGAGCTAGCGTCGCATCTCTTATCGCACACTTGCGTAGTGTTGTTATTTACCTGAGGCCTTCGCCACAAGCGACGAGAAGCTTGGCGTCCTTGCTGCCGCCGTCGCCGGCGACGACGGCGGCAGCGACGTCCTCAACGAAGCGGTCGTTCATCTTGGTGAAGCCCTGGCCGGTCCAAAGCCCGATGTAGCCGAGGTGAACCCACTTCTTGAGCAGCGTCACGGGGCCCATGTCATCGTCCCCAACGAACAGCGGCACGTGCACCGAGCCCCGCACGCTGGCGCGGGCGCGCTCCCACTCCGGCCGGACGTCCAGCAGCCGGAACCCCTCGGCGCCCAGCGCCTCCGCCGCGTCCCTCGGCCGCACGGCCTTCACTGCACCCGACCGCACCAGCGCCTCGGCGCCTCCGGACCACGACGTCGCCTGCGCCCTGACGCGACAACGGGGCAGGCCAGGGGAGGCGGACCTGATGCAGGTGGATGCGGCCGCCGCAGCACCCATCGCCATGGGCACTGGCTGCTTTGGTTGCTGCTTGTCAGTTCAGGCTCAGGCCTCACTCGCGTTCGTTTCCAGGTCACTCTTATCCACATGATATTTTAGGTCTAATCCGCGCCGTTGGTACACTGGTCACTGCATCTCCTGGCCGTACGATTCGTCCTAACAGATGAGGCGGAGCTCGACGAGATCTCCGCGCGTTGATTTGTCGCACACCGGCAGGTTAAACTTTAAAGGCGCGTCAGCGGCAACGCAGCGGTACAAAACCGGCATGAAAAGGTCGATTCCTATTGCAAACGAACATCGATCGACGCACATGGCAGCATAATCGTTTTCTGCTGCAGGACGCTACGCGAACTCGAAGCTCATGAGGAGCTTGACACTCTTGAACTTGAGCCCCTTGTGGTCGAACAGCGGCACGGCGCGGATCCCTGGCCGCAACTCCGCCACAGGCAGCGCCGTCTGCCCGCCGAAGTCGTCTTCGCTCACGTCCTGCTCGTGCACCTCCACGCGGAGCACCGCGATCTCCGGTACGGTCAGCGGGAAGGCGAACTCCTCCTCCCACACCGGCACCCAGCTGTCCTCCACGGCTTTCGTCTTCCTCATCACCGAGTCTAATGGAACTCCGGCGATGCCAACCTGTTGGCGAACCGAACCAAATTAGCAATGCATCCCCAAGTTTCAGGCCTGGCGTGACTGTGCTTCGGACGATCTATAAGACGTCGCTGACTTCTAAAGATTGGCACGGGCGCAACGAGTGAACAGACCTTTACATAAAAATCTGGAGGTGAGTATGTGTCGAAATGTGTCTGCTTGAAGTCCTTTTGCCAACCTTCCCCCATGTAAACCTTGACCTGCAAACCACTACCGAATCAACACATTTCTGAAACCCATGCATATAGAGAGCAAAAAAGAGGAAGAAACACACCATCTACCTTCAATGTTGTCTTCACTGGCAAATCTGCCTTCGGATCAAACACCTTTCCATCTGGACAAGTTTGCATCAAGAAATCTGGTTTCTTCACATAACCGCAACAGCCATTGGCTTTATAAAAACCATGCATTAACCAAAGTGCTCTTCCATGTCCCTGGAGAAAAAAAATGGATATAGCAGGTATTCATGACATTAGGCAGCTTCTACACATGCTTAAGCGAAGGGAAAATACACCATAACACAACTAGCTAGTTCTGGCATTGCTTATGTTACAGCTCTAAACTAATTAATCAGGTTTCCTTTTAATGATTTGCTAAAAAGTAAGCTCACGGTATATACCCTAATCATGAACCAACTGAGCAACCAAGACATGACCACAATGGTAAAATGAAACTTGATTAGAAACAAGATTATGGTACAAATGTGGTAAAGTGAATATTGATACAAACCCTAACAGGAAAGTTGGGAACTATTGGAGTTCAATCAGGCCAGAATATGTTGTTCAGATTACAGTCAGACCTGCATATTGAATGCCACCATTTGAGCACCATGCACCCAACCAAGAAATGGATTATAGTTGGATGAATTGAAGCGGGTTCCCTTTGGGTATATTCTCAGCATATTTCTATGCGTGAAGCTGTTTGGAACAAACAGGAAGAGCTCTTCAGTAAGAGAGGAAAAGTGGACAACTAAGGAGTTATGACAGTATTATGTCATATCTCCTCTAACATTGGTCAACAATCAAAATATATTTGGGAAACAAACCTCACAATGTTGGGACCATGACGTGCTGCAACTTTTGCAAGTTCTTGCTCACTCAAACTGAGTCGCCTAACTTTGTCTGGATCGTTCTTTAAGGCATCCACGAGAGGACCCTTTGGCTTTCCTGCCTTGATAGTGATGAGGTGTTTATACTCTGCTGCCACATGCTTTGTTTTCTTCTCATCATCACCATCCGCACCTCTTTCGCGGTATAATAGATCATCATCATTCTGCCAGAGCACCATGTAGTAAATATTGATGAGCAGAACTTTCAGGCTAGGTAAACAAACGGTAAAATGTAGCAGAATTTAAGATCTGTACCCTGTCAGCGACTTGCATCTCATCCTGAATATCTGGAACTTCTACTCCCCATGCTGCTTCTTCCCTTTCTCCCTTTTTAAACTGGGTCTCAATTTCTCTCTCCTTCGTGGTGTCACCCTTTGCTTCGAGATATTCCTTTGGGGGTTTTGTTGAGAGAATGACACGCCCCTTTAGAGCTTCTGGTGAAGGAAATTCTTGAAGATGTTTCGATTCAGGGTAATACAGGATGTCTCCAAACACTTCAAGGACCATCTATACAAAATTTCAGAAGTAGCTACACTAGAATCACCTGCCATATATTAATCATTCAAAGAAATGCAGTTACCTTAGCTACTTTCGCCTGAAGATCAGGTGTAAGGTGGTCTTCTAGTGTTATAATAACAGGATAGGGAGATGCAACAAAAGCATATTCTTTGATGGATCTCAAGCATTTGATAAGTGATACTGGGGCAGTCAGTGTCCTATGAAGAGTGAAAACGTGAATGAAGTCACAGGCAGCACATCTCATGGCAGCTTCAGTTTTCAGTATCGAAATAATGTTTCAACAAGATGGTGTGGGAAAAAAAAACTCATGAAAGGAATGCACAAAGTATCAATGCGTGCAGATATATACCTTCCATGGAGAACATCAATGTCATCTTTAGAAAAATTTGGCCATATGTCCAATTCAATTACACGAACACCTATTTGCAGTGCCTTGATGATGGGAACATCACTGCAGTCACTGCTGAGTTGATTACCGGTCAGATACGAGTTGTGTCCGGTGTATATAAAATAGTGCGATAGAGGTGCGTTCATGTCCTGATGGACCTGGAAAAAGGTATTTAACGTCAAACAATTCATGGAGTGCAGACCAGATCATTAAAACCGCACATCAATAATGGAACTGCACATGCTAGCCACAGCAGATAATTGACAACAGAATTTTTTTTCCTTCAACAAACCCAAAGCACAAAGCAGTATATATCAACAGCCAACATATTAGCTAATTACGAAATTCAGAACTGTTATGAAGAAACAGTGCATCTATCAATCAAACCCAAAGCACAAAGCAGTATATATATATATCCATTCAACCCTGAGCTTGCTAAGCATGGCACGTCATGACACAAAATTACCAAAGGCAATGGGAGTATGCGACAACATTAGAGATGCATTAATTAGTTGGTAGAGACATCACTTTGAACCATAACGTCAAGCCTATGAAGCTATGACGCTAAGAAAGACAAAATAAATGGACTATGTAATTGTGCTCTTTGCTGCACATGTTCCATTGACACAGCGTTATATGAGGAGCAGTTCACATTCACAAGTCCCATTTCGTGATCCACAAAATGTTGAACTGACACAGGCATTATATGAGGAGCAGCTCACAAATCCCTATGTGATCTGCAAACGGTACTGATTTGGCTACATTGCATAATCCACCCCCGCAAACAGCAACCGCACCAATAGACAGTGGAAACAATGAATGAAGCCGCATATGGATTGGGGATCGAGCAACTTCCGGGTGGACTTACCTTGGAGCAGCGGAGGGGTGGGTTGAGGTCCTCGGAGAAGAGGAAGTGTAAGAAGTCGTCAACGGTGAGCGCCGGCCTCCCGAACCGCGGGGTGCGGCTGCGATCCTGCAGGATACGATCGATGATCTGCTCCGGGACCTCACCGTCGGCCCCTCCCCAGGCGGCGAGGTAGCGGCGGAGGTCGTCGGCAAGCATGTACGGCGAGCCGCCGGCGTAGCGGGAGAAGAGCGCGCGGACGTCCTCCGGCGTGGTGGTGTCGGCGAGCGCGAACCTGCGCGTGAAGAAGATGCAGCACTTGTACGTCCCCATCTCCGCCGCGGACGCCCCCGCCTGGTCTGCCTCCTCGGCCTCGCTGTCCGTCCCCGGCGGAGGTGTGTGGGGTGGGGAAGCGCGCGGGGAAACTGCTTTGTCTCGTTTGGGCATTTTCGCGTCGCGAGGTTTCAGGGCGATTTGGAGGGTGGACGAACGTGCAGGAGGGAAGGGAAGTTTTCGGGGAACTGCCGGTTGGTTAAGTACCCTGCGCTCGCCCGTTGATTGATTCTTCTTAAACGCAGCTGCTTGCATCTGTGTGCGTTCACGTTTTTCTCCAACTTGTGTGATAAAGGACCTCCGCAGTGTTGCTCTTGAGTGGGGTGAAAACGGATGGGATACGGACATATCACTGATATTATATTTGTTTTTATATTTTGTTCGGATTCGGATTCGGATTTGAATATGGATAGTGTCAACCATGCCGGATAGGATACGATTGGATATCGACATCATAAATATGCGATTTGAGTATTCGGATACGGATATAGTATCGGATGTTGAATATCAGGATTCGGATACGAACGGATTTAAACCCCTCTAAACGGATTCGGTCTCGAATACGGCCGGAAAATATCCATACTGTGGCCAAACCCCGCTGTGGTGCACGGCCGTGCCTCTGTACGCCACCAGTCATGATGGTTGGTACCTCTTTCAACCGCGTTGGCGTTGAGGAGTGTCTCGGTGGTGAGTCGTGCTGCCGAGAAGGTCTGTGCTTGCCGGCGTTGGCCGGAGATGCCGCGGCCTCTATTAAATCCGGCCAGGGATATCGTAACATAAATTTGAAATGAACCAGGGGGTCAAGTGCGAGAGTCAGTGAGAGAGTGGAATAGTAGAAGGGACTGCGCATTCATTTAGCTGAAAGTCAGGGTCTCGTTTGCATATTAGCTGGTGCGCTCATGGGTCTCCCCACGTGGGCCGCACTGGTGCGCGCACGTGGGTCACAGTAGTGGGCTGTGTTGCTCGCTTGTGGGCCGCGCTGAGGAATGTGTTTTCCAATTTCCAGTAAATTAGGAAATATTTATTCAATTTAGTTTTTGAGCTGAACTTTGATAAATTATAGTAAATTCTGTAGATATCCAAAAATAGTGAAACAAAATTTGTTAGGTTCATAAAAATGCCATCTATCTGTTAGTGTAGTTAGTTTATAGTTAGCTATGTTAATG